GGGAACAGAGAGTCAGGGTGGAGGCTTTGGGTCTTTTTTTTCCCCATTCAAATGTGGTAAACACTGAATATTCCTATTTGTAACCAAGTTAACACATGAACACAGAGACAGGTGGGCAAAAGGCTGGGTAAATTAATGCACTCCCATCACAGAGCCCCAATACAAATAGGACAGGTTTGCAGAATATTGCTTTGGTGAAAGCTTTGAATTAAAAAATAAATCAAGCTAATAAGCAGAAAAAAGAAAAGAAGTCATCATTTCACCACAATTTTAAATAGAGGATTGAATGCAAGCCCTGTTAGCATATACCTAGCAGGGCTGATTTCCCTGCCCATGTTCTTGCTGTAGGGGTCAGGAAAACTCTTACCTCATGCATCCAAACACTAAACGGCCTCTGCCAAGAATCCTTTTTCTCCAGATGCAGGTATGCATTGAACAGGATCAGACAGATATAGCGTTCCAAGTACTGTAGGCTCCTCAGCTGCAATGTCCTCATTTCTTTCTCTTCCTTAGCTGTTTTCCCCTGAAATAAATAATCAGTAACTGGGTTTGCTTTTGATATTAGGTAAGTAACTCAGAACCCCATTAGGATCAACCTGAAGAGCACATACAGGTATGCACTAAATAATAAAAAGCTATACACGAGGGGCCTAAATCTGAGCTGATAAAAGCAGGAAGGCAAAGAGAGAACACTTCTTTAAAAAGAGTATTTTATTTCTTTGTTGTCTGGACAGAACAGTTAAGAGCAAGGCATCTGATCATCCAAATGACATCTGACTTGTAATTTTGCAGAACGGGAAGAGTACAATTAGCTTCAGTATTTTGGGAGACATGTAGGAAATGAGTAACTGTGAGCTTAGCTGGTATATGAAACGCTTCTTATAAGACATTTCTGAATTCTCAGCTCAGCAATTCCACAGTGGTCAGAATGCCTCCTAAATTTTAAGAACAGTTCATCTCAAGAAGTGTTTGTCCCCTTTAGTGAGTGACCTGCTGCAAAAAGGTTTATCTCCTTCTCTTTTAAGGATATGTGTACAGTTGAGATGCTCCCACCATTAGGGCTTTTTCCCTTGGAACAAAAAAGTCCATTTTATGGCAGCAAATCCTTTTTGTGGGCTTTTAGATAGCTACGGTAATTATGTGTATGATTGAAGGGGTTCTCCCAACCAAAATAAGATGGACATTTCATGTCATTGGGGAGCTCCCATTTAACATCCCCCCTGGAATTTACCTTGAATGGCTTTCACAAAGCAAAAATTCCCATAATTCAGTGGGAAGCACTGTGAAGAATGTATTATATCAGCGGACGCTCTTTTGTAAATCCACCAACTTGTCTATCAGGAAATTCACTCTCTTATCATGGAGCAAAATCCATTCCCTCGTTATCCCATCAATCCCTTGTGTCAGCCATGTCTGTCCATTTTTTAAAAGTTACCATACTGTTAAAAGACTGCAAACACTGAAATCTGAGGGATTGGTCTGTGTTCAGTTTTTCTCTGTACGGGTAGTATGACTCTTCCTGCCTCAGATAGTCAACACATTTTATTCTTTTGTTGCTTTTTTCAATACAGTGACATCATACTATGTCTCCTTGGCAACTATAGAAGTAGCTAGTGATTTCACAATGTTTATATTAAAAATGAATGAGAGGGAGCCGTCTCTAATGGCTTCAATATACACAAAGCTCTGACCTTTCCATATACCAATCAGACTTCCCTCAATGCATAGCAGGCCACCCACAACTCTTATTTTAACTCTCTGTAGAAAAGGAAGGACTCCATTTGCTGCATCTAAATCACTAGTTTCTTCAAAAGCACCACTGTGAACAAGAGGCAAGATAGTTCAACCACCTTTTAAAGCATACATGCACTGTGAAAGAGATCCAATTTTTCTCCAATTGAGTTAACGATGTATTAGCAAGTAACACATGGGCAAAGGAATATTTTTGCAGGTGCATACTGGCCTTTGCTTTTCAAGCACATGGCCCTTTATACCTTAATGTATGATGCGTTTATGACTGTAAATGTTAGTCTGTCTTGATGTTTAGAAGATCTTAAAAGTTCCCTGAAAACACCCTCAAATCAAGTATTTTGGAAGGAAGGGTCACCTTCTGCTGGTTACAGAAATAGGTTTGAACTTTAGCATCGTTCTTACATTAACTTGGCAGTTTAAGCTCTCCTTAACTTGTGGTTTCAACTGTATAAAAACTTCCTCTTTGACATGTAGTCTACAAAAATAGAAGAGGTATGGCTGTGTGTACTATGGAACTGCCAGGAATAGGCATTCTGTGCCTCTTCAGACTATAAACTGTACCCTGTCTTTGTTATGACTGTTCTATTTTTGAGTGGCCAGGAGCTTTGAGCCATGGAATTGGTTCTTCTTTGACTACTGTCCCTAACTTGACCTTGATCAAGGCACAACCTCACAACAGAAGTATTTCAGGGCAACATCAATTTCCAGGTGTCCTGGGGTTTTGAGTCACGATTTCCAGGTGAGTTCTCCAAGGCTCTACCCATGCTTCACTTGAATTCTTCACTTTCAGCAGTAAGTAGGCCTTAGATGCTTTCATACTTCCTTCCAGAACAGAGGTTGAGTGCACAATACAAACATCTATATCAATAGATGTCTACTATTATTTCCAGGTCTCAACTCATACATGCTCTCCATTGCGTTGGACACTACAGCAACAGGAAAACAATGAAGGGGGCATCACAGTTAGTCAAACAAATATTATGCTTGAGAGATGACAAATTACTCAAAGGAACTCCAGAACTTGTCAGCAAAGAACATTTCTTCAGTGTGCTGGAAAAAAAATCCAAAACAACTGCAATATTAAGAACATGGGAAAGGCCATATTTTCACAAATCCAGAATATGCCCAGGCCAGTATGCCATCTCTGAGGGAATTTAATACCACTGGCTTCAGAAGGACACATAGGAAGCAGATGCAAAATGAGCTGAACCCACAATAACTTTCCTCACACAGTAAAAGACTAATTTAATGCCTGAAATATGAGGATCTGGATAGTCTTGTTATCCTTATAAATAACCGATCCCTTTTTTTTAATCCAGGTGAATTTTTATCTCCAATTTCCTCCAACAATTGGTCATACAGTCAATTATTTTCTGAGAAAAAAGGTGTAGCAGGGGCTGAGGTGCAGCCTCTGCTATACCTCTATGGAACTGGCAGCACCAGGAAAAAAATTACCTGGCTGGGTCTGAGCAAGTAGTGCATCCCTGGTGTGCCAGAAGAAAAGTCTGGGGGAGAAATGGGAGCCAAGAGCAGGCACCTGGGGCCAGAGTACATATGCCCCGAGGAGCCTGCACTGATTGGTCTGGGGGAAAGCCTGGGCTGTTTAAAAGAGAGATGCCAAGAGAAGCGCAGTGTTAGGCATCTCTGGGGACAAAGACTGCACCGCTGGGCCAGGAGGACATCAAGCAGAGCTGGAAGTCCAGTCCACCAAACTTGTGTGATCACCAATGTGGGAGACTCACAAGCAAGGGACATCCACCAAGAAGTCTGGACAGAAATTGTGATGGACAGAGGGGAATGAAGGGTGGTTCCCACAAGCCTGAGAATAAGGGGCAAGTGGAGAATTCCTCAGGGGACTGGTGGTCAAGCCCTCCGAGAAGAGGGTAAAGGCAGACCCACTGAGGATTTGGGTAGTCTTAGGAAAAGTGGAGGCAGCCTGGCCAACAGAGGAATTTGTCCAACTCAGCAGAGGGAACTCCAGCAAAGTTTGAAGCAGGGGATGTTAACCTGGCTGAACACACAAATCTTTCCTGCCTAGGTGGGGAGTCGGACTTGATGAACTGTTGAGGTCTCTTCCGACCCTAGCATCTATGCATCTGAGGGGAGCCAGTGAAACCAGGTTTTTTTCATTTGTAAATGTGTAGTTAGGACCCATAAGCCGGGAACCAGAGTCTGCCTCCCCTTTGATTTAGTATCCCCAGGTAAAGGAGGAGGAAAGTATCCCCTTGGTGTTTCTGTTACAGTTAACAGGGTCCTATTCTTTGCACCTGGACTCTTTAAACAAGCTAGTCTAAAAGGCTTGAAGTATTGCTGAGAGATGTCAAACTGAGTGAGGCAGATTGACCCAGGAATAATCGCAGAAACTAGGAGTGTCAGGAAGAAAGAGACGGCATCAACCAGACAGAGAGTGGGAGAGAGGGAGATGATAAATTGGGTGAAGAGTAACCTGGGCAATTAAGCCCAAAGAAGTATAGGAACAGAGGAAACTGAAGAAGTTAATGCCAATCGCTAGCCAAATCAGCAGTCACCCCTATTTTGAAGAGCTTGTTTCTAATTGCACACACCTGTTCTGGTATGTTACTTTAAAAAGATATGACCAACTGTAACATTGCAAAGCAATAGTCCCAAATCCCCATGACCAACATATAGTGTAATCCCTCTCCCCAAAAATGTATGGAGCTCTGGGATGCTTGGGAAGCTCTACAATCTCTATACATACATCTTCTTTTTCTGCTTTTTTCCTATTTAAAAGTCTTTATTCCCTTCCTCCTCCTCTTCAGCTTATTTAACGCTTAGTTTCTTCCTTTTTGTCATTTTAGTCCTCCTTTTTCTCTTGCTCTTTAAAAAAAAATGATCCTCTTCCCTTTTGCTAAGAGAAGAGATTTCTCTTCTCCCTTTAGTCTTTTCTTCATTTCCTTTCAATGGCAGCATTTTTTTTCTTTCTTTGCTACTTCAAATCACTTCTATCTCTGCTCAAGCATTCCTTGACCGATTCTTAGGTTTCCCCAATAGCTTCTTTATCTTTCCTCTTGTCCCTATCAGTACCCTTTCCTGGGCCGGTCTCCTCCCATCACATAGGCCCCCAGTGCTTCCCATTCTGCTTGAAACTGGCTGGTCCTCATCTTTAGTCATGTGTTTCAGAGAGGCTAAGTAGCACTGGTATCTGTAAAATAGGAGCAAGCTGGTGATAAGCAGCACTGCCAAAACAGGACAGGCTGTTTTGGAACAGCTTAAGACATTCCTTCCCCCACCTTGTCCCCCAACACAAGTCAGGGAACAAAGCATCTAACAATAGCTTCAATCTAATACAGAGCCAGGACTTCAAATTCCCCTGGAATCTGGCAGTTATTCAGAACTGGTGTAGACAGCAGGATAAAGGCTGCTGATAAAGACATCTTGTGCCTCATGAAGCAGACTTGGGAGGCCCAAAGTTATGATCATTTCAGTAATGAGCAGGAAGGTATGGTAAAAAGTACATGTGGCAATAATCACATAGTAAATCTTGTTCTGCATGAAACAACAGTGGAATGATGGATATCGACATACAGGCAGGTCCCACTACAACACCATTCTGGAAAACATGGTTCAAACAAGATCAAATAAAGCACTAAGAGAAAGAAACGGCTCATTTTAATTATTTTCATAGTTCTAGATGGGAATTTAATTCCATATTTAAAAAAAAATGATCTAAGCAATGTTACATCCTCCAGTAAGCAGCACAGATGCTGACCCAAAGAGCCCACATGGGAACTGGACCTTCAAAACCTTTTC